GTACAAAGATGGCACAAAATATCAACTTAATCTAATTCATACTAGGTGGTAGGCAGTTACTGTTTTTTGAAGTGAGGTATATATATTCTGGTTTCTCTTTGGATTGTATAAATCTTTCACCTTTTTTTTTTTTGAAGTGAAATATATGATTACTGATTGATTTTTTTATGTTACGATATTTTATATTTCTGTAACAGTTCATTGCTGGGCTGTCCCTTCAATTTGGAATGTTAGTCCCTTAAGTGAACCAAATCAGGTTATTCTGGCTCCTCAGGGTCCTTCAGGGTTTCACATTCCCTTGAGACATTACTATATCCCCTCTAGAAGATTCTGAGAGTTACTGGTAGGACTTTGAGTTGAAATATTTCATGTGGTACCACACTGGCTCAGAGACATGTTGAAAGTCCATAGTGGTGACATGGTTATGTGTCAACCTGACCAGTCTCAACTCTGTTTCCCAGAATTCCCTTTCCTGTGTGATTCTAGAAAAAGAACAGTAGGCAAAAAGAGGCATTCTTGTCTGGGATTTGTAGGGCAACATTGCAGCAGCTGCTCTTTGTAGCTCACCACACACTCTGTGACCCATCCACCCATTGCCTGGGGCAGCCCTGGGTCTCCACCTTCCTTTGGATCTTCCTTCAGCTTCCCTGATCCAGGACCATGGTCAGGGGACCAGCTTCTCCTGGAGGACACCCACACATACCACTAAGTTCAGAAGCAGTGAGAACTGACACAGTTCCAACTTGTCCTTGTGTCTCCAGTTTGTTCTTGCCCCTCACATCCATCTTCCCTTCCCACCTTCCTGCCCTGAAGACTTCAAGCTCCAGCACCAGACTTGACACGAGACTTACAGAGGCAGCTTCAGCAGTACCTACAATTGTATAAAGTTAAATCCCTTCAGATGGATGGATAGATAGACAGATAGGTAGGAAGGTGGATCAATCTATCCATCCCTTAATAGTTCTTTCTGTTTCAACCATGATTGATACACTGCCTCTTCCCAACTATTCAAATCTCTGTTTGTATAAGAGTTGTCTCTAATCTGCCAAGATGAAAAAAAAAAAAAGCCAATCTCTTAAATTTATTTCTCGTTTTGTTTCAGTGCTCACTAACTGTCTCTGAGCTATAACGTTAACTTGTGGCTTGGCTTTTCACATATTATTAAAGGTCAGGATTTTATGACTTTTCCCCAAATCCTGTTTCTGGACCTAATATAGCCTTAACATCAATCATTTGGCATTTGACAAGTGAAATATGGGTTTTTACATAATGTTATTTTGATACTTTTTACATTCCCATATGAAGATTATTTCATTATCATGTTTTTATTATAGAGTTGATAATGTTTACATTTATATGATATCCTTTACCATTAAAATCATAACTAGGGGAAAAAATAACTCCAGTAAATTCTCTTAAAATAGGTCCTGTTTCATGCAGTGAAGATTATGCACTAGTAGTTGAATTAAGGATCATTAGTGCAAATTCTAACACATTTAAAAAATCATAGGTTGTTACAAACAATGTGTGACAACATACCTCTTAATGGATAAGATGCCCTGTGTTTTATTTGGTAGTTAGATAGACCCATCTTGAAGCTAAAAGTTTCTTGTGTTGCCGTCTACTTGTAGGAAAACTAATGCACATGACAAACCATTTTACCTACGTCTGTTATTCTGTAGGACAGTATAACAGAAGTGAACACACGGATTAGCCAAGGCTGGTAGAACTCTGGGTCATTTTTCTATCTTTATGAATCTGAAATAATTCTAATGCCAGAAAAGAAATGTCAAGCAAAGCATTAGAAAAAAGATAATCCCCCCCACCAGATTTTAATTCCTGTGAAAACTAAACTGTAGGTATAAACTGCAAGTTGCTTTAGGGTCATAGAAATCTAAGAGTAGGAGAGAGAAACTAAACTCTGCTGTGTCCCTGAATTGAAGTGCTTGGCAGTTGAAGGAATTGACAGTGGTTGGAGACAGGCCTTTAAAGCTAATGTGAGTGCTCCTATATTTCTCTGTTTATTGCTGGCCATTCAGTTGAATTAGTACTACTTCTTTCCCTTAAGGATCTCACAATCTAGTTTGTCCCCATGTGTTCCTGGCTTTGGTCTTAGTCTCTGCATTTCTCACATCTACATTCCTCCAGTATTTTCTGTTTGCCCTAGATCCTAGGCTATTCTAACTCTGCTGGTGGCAGTGGACCAACCTGGCCCTGACCCCAGACTCCGGTCTTTGAATTAAGTGAATAGCCCTGTTATTCCTGGTGGAAGGAAACTCCCTGACCCTCCCAACCATGTTCTCAGCAGCTGGGGTGTCTGTTTTGGGAAGACTGGGACGCCACCTCAGGCCCTCTGTTGCTCCTTCCTGGCTATAACTACTAATGATGCCTACATGGTTAATTCATCAGGCTGGAGCCCAGTGGGTTCTCTGGACCAAGGAAACATCAGCACCCAGACCAGTGATGGCTCTTGGCTTCATCTAAGCTGTAAAACTCTCAATAGTAGGTTTACTAGCTGTGTGACCTTGAGCAAGTTTCTTAATCTCTGTGCTTCATTTTTCTATTCTGTAAAATGAGGCTTATAATGGCACCTACCTTTCAGGGCTATTTTGAAGATCAAATGTGTTACCATCTGTGAAGCATTTAAACAGTGCCTGGCATATATAAATGCTATATAAGAGTTTGTAAAAAAAAAAATTAAAAACAAACAAATGAAGAGTAGCATAATATGCCACACCAAAATATGTCTTTTGGGCATAAGGATTATTTTGAGCTGATTATTTTTGAGAACTAACAAGCACTAGAGAAGCACAGGAAACAGAAAGTTATGTTTTGCAAGGGAAATTGGCATTTATAAAGGAGATCTCCCTATGTAAGGGTGCTTCCCTCTCTGTGCTTCAGGAAGAAAAGGAGGCCTTTAGCTACTTCTCTAGCTAGTTTAGCTAGTACTTCTCTTCAGGAAGAGAAGGGTGACTTTAAATCATAATAGAATCTTGTCAGTGGAGAAGGCTTCCATTTAAATTAGCATAACAAATCTTACCCTTGTTTACTGTGCCTTTTCCTGGAAAACTCTAACTAGCCTCCCCACTCCTCCCCCAGCACACACCTTTCTCTTTTTTGTCTTTAGGTGGAGATGGTATTTAAGGTAGCTACTTGGTTCCCCTGGATGTCTCCTATGTATATATGAGGCATACTTTGCTAAATTAATTCAACAAGGAGGCCATTAGACTAACAGCTAAGGACAACCAATCACAAACAGACAGGTTTTAAGCTGTAGTCAATCAATAATTTCTTTACTTTGTTCCTGCCTTTTCTCTATAAAAGGCTCTCCCTGATGTCCTTTCCCATGGAGTGTTCTTAACCATTTCTCGTTCAGCATCGCCAGAGTCAAATAGATTTTTGCTCAGAAAACCTTTTAAAATCTTTACTATGTCTCAGTATGTCTTTTAAAAACACGTTAACAAACTTCTGTTCAATTTTCTCTTGTTAATCTGTCTTTTATTACAAGGATGTTAGACAAGAACTTAGAAGAATAGAAGGAAAATTAATTTTCCTCCCATACAGAAACAAACAAAAAATCAGTGTGTTCAGTAGAGAAAAGCCAATAATGACAAGGGAAAGGATTCTAGGATTGTAGAGATGGCCTCCAAGTCCCTGGGAAAAGAGGATGAGACCAGAGTGCCTTGTATTTGTCATCTCTGATGTAGACCCTAATGGGCTCAGCCGTAGACACAGTTTTAAAGGTGATAAATTTGCAATTACTCTCTGATTTCTAATCTTCCCTTTAGAAAAGATCTGAAATGTGTTCTTTGGAGAGTAACTTTTATTCATTTGTTCAAAAGTTGTTTTTTTTTCTTTATTGAGTACCTACTTATTTCAGGACAGATACTGTATGCTGGGGACACATGCAAGTTAATCATGGTCCCTGCCCAGATGAAGCTTTGATCCTAGTTAGTGAAAGAGACATTACACAGATAATTGTGCAATTACTTATTTAATCACAACTGTGAAGAGCACTCTGAAGGACAAAGATCATGTGTAAGAGGAGACCCATCCTAATCCTGTGGGTCAGGGAAAGTGTCTTTAAGGAAATGGCATTTCAGCCTAACAGCTGAGAACTCAGAGGAGCTGGTTAGGCCAGGAGTTTGGCCTTGAAGAAGAGAAGGGCATTCCAAGCCAAGAGAGCAGCATGGACAAAGGCTGCAGAATCATTTTGTACTAGATGAGATTCAAAAAAGAAAAAGAATGAATGTCTTACTTTAAGAAGGAAGGATTGGTAGGTGGCAGATGTTTTACATAATCATCTCTTTCCCTCAAGGACAGGCAGGGTTGGTGCTGTATTATTTTACCAGCATCTTGCAACATCAATAGGTAATGTTGAGAGCAATTCTGGCTGGGGGAAGGGAAGGGAAGCAATTATGTTAGAATTGTACAAGATGGGGTGGGCTTCAATAGATGTTTAAATAAACTAGAGAATAAGAAGGTATAGGCCAAATGAATTACTCTGAAATGTAAAATTTTTGGTATTAGTAAGATGGCAGAATTTTTGTTTGTTCTTAGCTTTGCTTCTCTGGGCTCCTGAAAACATACCATGGAATCTGCTGCCAGAACCACTCACAATAAAGTTGTCTTGTTTACAGGTTTTTGGTAAGCTGTTTTTATTCTTTAATAAATAAGAAACGATGCCATTGTCCTTTACAAAATAGCTGAGGTTTTACTTGAACAAAATCTGTTTGGAAATGTTAAGCTGGTTACACAGAACTAATATGCCTCAAGGTGGTCATTCTCTCTGGATTAAAGCTGTGGAACAATTGTGGCTCCTGTTACAAGGAAAATGACAAAGGGCCATTATGAAAGGGGACAAAAATCTCTGTTCCCAGAGGGGGACTGACAAGCTGAAAGTCCCCCTCTACATGGCAGCACAAAAGCCTGATTGCCTCAGATTGTTTGTTTATGTAAATCAAAAGGCTGCCATTAATTGTGCAAGTGGGACTGCTAAACAGCAAAGAAGGTGGTGATTGGCTGGATTCTTGCGTATGAGTTGGTGGCAAATCTGACAAATTCTATTACTTTTGTTCTAAGCTCCATCTGGACACCTTTAGGAAAAGAAGCTAGTTATTATGTACTAAAGTAAATAATCTGTACTCTTAGAGTAAGAGTTGGAACTGTAGGATTTAAAGGCAAGAGAACTTATTAAGGGTCTTCCCCAAAGCTCTCTCCAAGTGAGACTAAACTGTACATCATGACAGATGTTCCAGTGACATTCAGTCCGGTTGAGTATAATGGAGATACACCACCTGAAAATGGTCAACAAAAAATCACTAAAATCACTGAGGAAGCCGCTGATGTGGATGGTGCCCCATCATACAGCAGGGTGGAACCTAGTCTTGAAGATATACCCACAGGAGGAAATCGGGAGAAAAGTGAAAAATTACAAGAGACCATACTGCTCAACTCATCTATGGATGAGAAGATTCTAAAAGGTAAAGCATTTTCCTTCTCTCTAATTTGCTTGATTTGATTTGTAAACTCACTCAGGAGTCTTGGGATAAACTGTTATGACAGGAATAAGCTGCACACCCTCCCGCCCTCATCCATGCCCTAATGTGATGCCTTATTCTACAGGCCTGCATAGCAATAAGGACTAAACTTCTGCCGTGGGTAAAATCCAGGCTTATTTATTTGATAGCTCTGTGACTCTAGGGAACTTTCTCAGTCTCCTGAAGCCTTAGTTTTCCCACTAGAGGAAGGCAGAATAATAGTACCAACATCTGTAGAATTGTTGCAGAAATTACTGTATTGGTTAAATGTTAACTACTGTCATTTATTATTATATGAACATTACTGTTTGATTAAAGGGAATTCAGAAATTCAACTTTTTCTTCTAAATATAGCAGAAAATTTCTGAATTCATGGTAATATACCTCATGTAGACATTAAAAAATGGGAGGTTATCATTATAAATAAAAGTAACCAATGAAGAGATGAGTTCAAAGAGTGAAATAGTTATTTTTAATCATCACAATTAAAAAATCAAAGACATCTACCTAGTTAGAGTCTAAATTGGAATTTATTTATAATAAACTAATTAAATGTTAAAATATTAATCTTGTGGATTTTTTTCCCCAGAAAAACCAGAAGAGAATCTCTATATAGTTCATAAGGCTATCACAGATCTTTCTCTCCAAGAAACAATTGTTGATGAAATGACATTCAGAGGAGGTAAGAGGAACTTCCATTTTGTACACAGAAACTGTTTGACTAGACATGGAAAACAGTTTTTGCATGGGATGTTGCATGAGTGTGGTATTGAAAAAGCAATCCAGGCAACGCCTTCAAAAACTCAAAGCTGCTATAGGCAGATAAAGGAGTCTGGACTTATCTGTGGATTCCACCTTAAAAGCATTACAGACCCTTCAAGACTGAGATGGCATGGATCCGTGTAACTGATTGGCATGTTTCGACTAGACGATATGATACCTGCGTTTTAATAAGTTAGTTCACTACATTAACATTTCTTTTTGATTTAGTATCTTCAAATCTATGTTAGGCACCTTGCAAAATGTGAATGCTTCAAAAATGGGTTTATCCTAAAAGTTTGCCATTGACATACAGTTTAAAATAAATCTTATAAATTTATTTGATTTATAGGAAAATTCTAAACCTCTGATGTAAGCACAAAATGGTTACCTAATTCTTGTCAAAAAAAATCTTCCAGATGGTGAAGTTAATTTTAATTTATTCTTTCAGAAAATGAGAGAATAGAAGGAACATTGATTTTTAAGGGACTGTATTATTTTCAAAGAAACTCAAGAGTCTAAGAGACACAAAATCTCTTAGACTTCTCTTCTAAGGAGACATCTACATTCAAACAGTTTCCAAATGAGTACAGGATAAAAATCTATTAATTTATCATTCATTTCCTCTCTAGCAGCCATAAACATCTTATCTCAAAATTGAAGTCAGCTTGGTAGACCTAAGCAATTTAGCTTAGTTGGGAACTTAAACAAAACATTGAAGAGATTATCAGTTGAAATATTAGAACATCACATAAAATAGCAGATGTTGAGGAGGACATGGATGTGATTGGCAGTTTCCTGAGTTTTTTCACTCTGCCTGGACACCTCTCAGACTGCCTGCTGACTACACACAGTGGTCTACTGGGTAGTCACTCAAGAAAGAATGTATTAAGCAACAGTCATTGTCATGCTCTTACACTTTCACAGGTTATTTATGAGACGTAAGCCCCGTGAAATGGGCTAAGTAACCTCTTTGCCCTAACCCTTCTGCTTCCAGTGAGTAAGCAAACTCTCAGAGGCAGAATCTCAGTCTTTCATCTAGAGCCCCTTTCAGATTTCTGACCAGGAGACAATAGTTTTCTAGGATCTTTTATTTTTATTAAATAAAGAATAAAAGCAGTCTGGATTTTTAAAGTCGATAGTCTCAGGGTGAATTTTTCCCTGCAGGAATCCTTTTGTGTTTGGTAGAACATACGTTTCTCCTATAGGGGAGAAGGACACATTTTGGTGCCTTTTATTTCCACAATGGCAAACAGCTATAAAGTCTCCAAAGAGAATACTCCTAGACTGAAAAACAGGAAGATGCTAAAATTATTGAGAAAAAAATCTATAATTTAAATTCAAGAAGTTATTTCATGCATGACAACTCCATGCCTGAGTCATGAATATGAGCAAAAAGATCAGTTTCTTTGGTTCTTGTGGGGAAAAAAAGAAAACAACACAAAGCTTAAGATTATAGCAAACATTCTAATGTGTACTTTTAGTTATAATGTAAGGAATATTGAGTGGATGCCAGTGACCTGATAGGAGTGGTGAACAACTAGTGAGGGGTGATAATCCATCTTCACATCTGTCTCTTTGTGTAAGTTTACAATCTGGTTCCAATAGTTGGGGGAAAAAATAAAAAGAGAATGAAAAATCTTTGATGGAAATGGACTTGTGAACACCTTTCAGTGCAAATAGGAAATTATGAAGAAGAGCAAAGAGGAACGGTGCCTCTCACTTTATTTAAAAACTCTTAAGGTGTTGAAAGGGAATAGTGAACACAACCCTGAGTCAAGCAACTTCAGCCTGAAGCTTCCCACAGAAGTCCTTTAGGGGTGAAAGCCCAGAGAATAGCCTCTGCTGTCTTATTACTAATTCATTTTAGCATGCTCAATAAATATTATTGAGGATATGCTGATATGACCTGTTTGAAAAGTGTAAAGTTTGCAATGAATTAAGCCTTTTAAGAGTCCCTATATGGCACCAAAAATTTGAGTTAATTAAGGACATGCTTAAAACAATAGGCTAAACTAGCACTATGTTGATAGGACCTCAACATGATTTTTAAATCTTGGCTGTTTGGAAATCAGACCTTAGACTATATTGTGTGTCCTTTGGTGGGCTCGGTGCCTCTGTTAGCCCAGATATGACTCTTGACCATCTGTGGTTCCCTGCCCCTCCTCTGAGCTGGTACTTTAGGACAACTCTGACAATTGTGGTGGCAAATACTGAATTTGCTACTATGAGCATGACCAGTCATTGGCAGTCGTTTTTACTGTTGGAAGAAAGCCTTTTGTCACTGTGAGATATTTTTCTAATTTTCCTTGAGGAGTATGTGGAGGTGGGGGGAGTGTGTGTGTGTGTGTAGAAGATAGGTCCAAATACTTTTTCATATATTTACATATCCAGTCATGATAGCCTAGACAGGATTTTTTAAGTGTGTCTCAGGGAATACCAGTCTCACTAGAGACAGTAATTCGCAACAAAAAAGTTCCAGAGTCAAGTGAAACTGGGTTGCTGACTTATTTGGATGCTAATATTCATTAGCATTTAAAAGGCTTGGATAGATTCTGAAGATGCTTACTTAACTGTGTTTAATGCAGTGTTTTCCAAATTAATTTGATGGTGTAACCTGTTTTATTGTGTAAAACATGTTAGTAACCCACAGAACAATATCCCATAAATCACATGTTGGAAAATGATTGTCCAGAAATATAATTTGGAGAATATCTGAGTGTTTTGGAATCTCTGTACATATCAACTACCACTTGATTTTGCTACAGGGCGTCAGTGGGAGAAGATTCCTTTGAGCAGTAGTAACCAAGAAATAAGTAGACAGAAAGGAAGAATTGCTGAACAACCTCTAGAAGAGAGAGAAGATGAGGATCTGAAGACCAAAATTCGTCAGGCAACTGAAATTGAATGGTTAGGATTCCGGAAACCTAGCCAAGTTGATGTGTTATATTCTAAGCCTGATGAAGAGCAAGAGGTTTGGGATGAAGAAATTAATGATGATGATAATTGCAAAGATGATGAAGATGAAGTTCAAGTAATAGAATTTAAGAAAAAAGGTGAAGTGAGTTCTCAATTAAAAGAGGAAGTTGATGCAAGTGAGGACTCCCCCCTGAGCAGCCCCAGTTCCCAACCTGTCACACCAGATGAGCAGCCAACCTTCGAGAAGAAGAGTGACATCTCCAGAAATGCTTATTCAAGATACAACACAATATCCTATCGGAAAATCAGAAAGGGGAACACCAAGCAAAGAATTGATGAATTCGAGTCTATGATGCATTTATAAACTAACTAGAACTGAGAGCTTCTCACACCCACTAAAGCAAAAGCTAATTTTATTTTCCTGAGATGCATCTTAGTATGCCTTCTTTGAGTCATCCCCTTTAAAGAAGTGGAAGCTTAATCTCTATTTCACTGTAGAATAATGTGAAAATAACCATAGACAAAAATCCAGTCTGGTAACCTCAAATCAAAAAGCTTCACTCTTGGACGTTTGCTTTTTAAAACTTCACTAATATAGACCTATGTGATAAGCACTAAATGGCCAGCACTGCAGGGGAAGCTGGCATTTAAAAGTTTGGCTTTCAAAGTAGTAATGCTAGGAATTGTAGTTGTCAAATGAAAGAGGACTATTTGAAATGAAATGTGTTTCTTTTAGTGTCTTTCTTCTGTACACTGAGGGTGATAGAAAGCCTGGTATTAAATCTCTTTCTTTTAAACATGGTTTTATAGACTCTGGCAATAAACTTTCCAAAATATTTTGCCTCTCCTATTATCTTCAGAAAAGATTTAAGTTGTTTTTCTTGGCATCTACAGAGTGAAATTCTGTACAGGCCTCCTTCCTAGGTATTACCATTCACTGAATTTTCTCACTAGAAGGACTGAGCAATTGTCAGTCAGGAAAATTCTATTTACTAAATGTTGCCTTTATGTTCCCAAGATGAATTAAATCCATTGTGAAGTTGCTACAGGGAGGGGCTAAAAAGATTGGTGGGCAATAGACTACAGAGTTATAGCAGATAGTTTATTTCTGTGAATATAAATAAAATCTTGTCTAGCACAGTTAAAATCATTAAACATGAAAATGACAGCTTTAACACGATTTTAAGAAAATACCCCTCTCTATTACTACACTTTCTCTTATTAACAGTATCTCAGAATAATTTTCTTTCCTTAGAAACCTGAGACAACTCTAGTCATAACTGTACTAGTTACTATGAAAATGGAAATAATTATCTTAGAATATTTTCAAAGTAGAGTGGGAGCATGTATTTTTAGTGAGAAAGCTCTGATGGTTTTGGGGAATATATAATTTACTGGACCTCAGCCCAAATCAAGATGCTTAAAATTGTGCTTGTGAAGCTTCACTCAAACCAATGTGTCAAATAATGTATTGAATATTTATGAAAAGGGAGAATCTATATTTATATTCTTAGATAGTTCCATAATTTTTCATTTCATGCTTCTATATATATTACCCTAAGCTTTCTGTCACCGCAGATAAAGACATTTTTTGGCCCTGAAAATGAAAAGACAATTCCTTATTGTCTGAATGTAATACAGTCTTCATTGTACTATTCAACCCTTTGTTTATTTATTTTTCATTTTGTGAAAAACCCTGGGTTAGCCCTTCTTAGATTATTGCTTATTTACGTGTAAGAAATCCAACACATTCTAAAGGCAAGTTCTTTAATTCTTGTCATATAATATGTTTCCACAGTATCAATTACTATTATTTAGTATTTATGAGGCTCAATTTTGAATTCTTTTTTCCTTTTGTTCTTTCAAACAGATACTTTGCAACCTGACCATGTAAAAGTCTGTCACACTTACTCGATTGAAGCTATAGGTTTCATTCTTGACAATGCAAGTTTTCAGAGTAAAGCTGGGGAAATCAGGTCTTTATTGATAAACTTAGGTAGAAGATTGATGCACTAGGACAATTACCTGTGTATTTAGATCCTCAAAATCTTTCCACCTGGACAACCTACTTTCTTTTTGGATTACTGATGACCTCTACCTACAGTTTTTTACTTAACTCTAAAGCACAGTATTGTGTTATCTGTCATGGAACATGACCATGGTAATCTACCATCAACAGAGCCTGTATTTTGAATTATTTCAGCAGAGGTGGTGAATTCCTGTGGAATGTGAGAGAGGTGGGTGGTCTGTGGCCATTTGACACTGGCAAGCAACTAGCTGTTCTGGGGCTCCAACCCGTAGTAATCCTGGCCTTTTTACCTTTGTGCTCTTACCAGATGATTAACCAACTGTGAACAAGATTCTGTCACCAAAGACTATTTCAGGGTATGTTCAATGATTGAGTGTTTAATGCTTACGGATGAGGCAATGTACTTGCAAAAGAGCTCTATTCTGTGGCATTCATGCCCATTGCCCGATGCTGCCATCTTGCAATAAGGCCACAGAGTTAAGTGATCATAAGAAACATGATGTTGATGGGTGGCTGTTTGGTTCTTTGTAACCTAGAAAAGACATGAGTCTGATTCAGATTGCATGGGAAATATTCAGCTTATTTGGAAAGCATATGGGACCAGTTAGGAACACAAACTGGTAACTACACATGAAGGTTTCCTGCTTTTATGATTCAAAGTTTAGGGCTGGAAGAAGGACTCTGGTACCTGGTAGGAGGGAGAATTGATTTATTAGGAGAACGCTGATATTTCTTACATGACTTTTTATTTTCTTTAGATGCTGAGTAAACAGGAAGTAACAACAGATCTATTTCTCTGTCAATATAAAACTTACCTTCAATATACTGCTAACTTTGAAGACATAGAATATATCAGACTCTATCTACCTGTTTTTTTTTTTTTTTAACAATTTAAATAAAGAGCTGCTGTGACTGACTTGCTCTCAAACATTTGTGTCCTTGATTTTGGAGTCTAAACTTTATTTTCTTCAGCTGCCTTTTAAATTTTAGAAAGACCCTTGCATATCAGCAGCTATTAAGACCATCAATAAATAGTGCTTCAGAAATCAAGAGAAAATTTATTTTAATTCATTTGCATTATTTATTTCAAAAAGGTCTTAAATGATTATATATGAAATTGCAAAAAATTTCTGGTGGCTAGATATGTAATGTTCATGAAACATTTCTGTTATTTTTACAGGAATTGAGCCATTGTTTCAGATGGATCTTAATTGCAACAACTTGAAAATGTGTATATGTATTTGTAGCCATTAAGGTAATACATTTGCAGTAAACTATGCTGACATTTTTACAGTAATTGATTCTACATACTTACATGGGGTTGCACTTTTGGCACATTTTCAAATGTAGAATGGATATTTAAGTTTTTCAAAATGATAGAAAAAACATTTAAAATAAGTAATAATATAGAATTATGGAAAGAAATAAAACACCCAGCATATCATAAAAAAAAATACATTTGACCATATGAGAAAGCCACTACTTCTTTTAAAGCCTGAACTTTCATTGCTCTATAAAAAACAAGAGGGCTATAAAAAATAATGTCAGAAGTTATAACATTTGCCAATATTAAAATATTAAACAATATAATAAATATGAATACCAAAATGTGTATAACAGCTCATGAAGAACACAAGGTGAGTAGGCTATACAATCAACATAAAGACAATGACACAGGTAATAATGAGCAGTGGAAATTATACAGATACATGGGAAAGTACAAAATCAAGTGAAGTTTGTAATAAACTGCCAGCTTGGAAAACTTTTGGAAATGAATTTGGCAAGTAATTTGAATTTTTCCTTAGGAACTTAAAATTACAAATTTGATCCTTTTATAATAAATTCAGTGGTCAGAGGCAGAAAAATTGGGCACTTAAAAATGTTCAGATTTACTCCAAATTCCTTACTACTACATAGTTTTAATCTGGTTTTCCAACTTAAAAAAATGTTTTCAGGTAATCAATAGCAAAATTCACTAATTTAAATTTTGCCTTCTCTTGTTTTTATGCCTATGTCTTATAGCTAATATGTATAAAACTAGTAACATTTGGGCAGTTGTTTGAAGGAGAAGAATTAAGGCATGTGAATAAACCTAAACTGAATTAACAAGCATTCTGATCATTTATAATTTAGAGTTTGTTTACTTTCAAGTCTGGAGAAAAATACACTGAGTGAAATTCCATATAGATTATTTCGTTCAGAAGGCCAGATGCAGATGAAGCTATGCACTTAAAAGAGGGTTAAAAATATCAGAAAACATTTCTTAATGTCTTAATTTTCTTTATTAGTAAAAACTCTTGATTTTACTTTCTCCCAATTCAAAGCATAAAATATAGAAACACATCCACACCTGTATATGTGTATATGTGTATATACATGCATACATACACATTTTGAATGGTGAAGTAGACTATGCTATCAAAAATTTGAGTTTAAATATCTAGTATAAAGACTTTATATAGATATTTATGACCAATATCCTTTAACTAAGAAAAATCTATTAATAGCAAAATAGAAAAACTTTGTTTTCAAAGAAATTATTTGTTACTTATTTGATGGCAGCTGTTGTCATTAGGAACTCAACATGTTAGAAGAAGCTCTGTTTGCTGGAAAATGAGAATTTTATGTTTTTGCAAAGCAAAAATTCCCATAAACTTGCAAAGAGATCCTAATTTGCAGTGGTAAGTATTAGTTAACCCATTAGGTTGAAAACCTAACCTGTTTAGTGTAATGGTATTTTTTTTCTCCTTTCTTTTAGATACAGACACCACCAGCACCTGAAATACCATCCATTAAACCTCATCAGGAGTAGATAATACTTTATGTGGCTTATTCAAACCTGTCCATGGAATGGCTATTTGCCACAAATAAGTGTTTGTGTACATTAACTGGTTAGCATTCCTTTTCTCATTTCAAGGCATCTTGACTCATAACAACTGTTGAGTGACTTTATGGAAAAGTTATTGTAAAAGCGCTATGGTGACAATGTACACAGTGAAGTGAAAGTTACGTGTCTTGGTTTGTGTTTTAAATTAAAGGACTAAAATTTTTCACTTCCCATTGCTGTTTGAATTGAGCAATCTATCAGCTTTGATGGTTGGAGGGACAAAGAGTTGGTAATTTTATTCACAGAGAAGCAGTCTCTCTGTGTTCACTTCTCCCTCTCAAACTTGTTCTAGGAAATAGAAAAGAGCATGTCTTGCATGAAGTCAAGTAGATAGACCACTGTGAAGTGTGTGAAGATAGCTATTTTTAAGCCTACACTTCAGTTATTTAACAGAGAGGGATGCAGCTTCTATTTCCTGTCTATAAAACATCCAAGAGAGAGACCAAAGAGGTTTGAGTCCATAACCAAGGGATTTTAACTAAGCCCACCTGAGTTGACTGCCCTACTTAGAGAAAAGGAAAGAATTGAAGAATCATAGCAGCATGATGTAGTGAAAGTGGCTCTCTCTTGGTTTTTCTTTTTTCTTTTCTTTTCTTTTCTTTTCTTTTCTTTTCTTTTCAGCCTGATAAAATGGAATCTGGGTTTTAACTCTTACTGGTAGCATGACTTTAGACATCCCTCTCAGCCATCCTCCTCATCTGCATAATGAGGAAAAAGAGACCAACCTCACTGAGTTGTGCACAATAGTGAGGTGTGGCGTAAGAAGTGCCTAGCACATAGTAGGTACTCAAAAGTTCTCATCTCTTTTCCTCTTATGCCTTGTAACTTCCTTTTTTTTTATCTAGGATCTTGAGGCTTTTATCTGAGACATAATTTCTTTCCTGTGTTTGAATGTGGAAGTTAAAGATATTACAATGAATAAAGATGGTACTGTCTGGTGCACCTCAGTCCCATTCTTTTGCAGGAGAGCCCCTTGAAAATCATTCTAAGCCATTCACGAATTCAAGGTTGGCTGGGGAAATTGAATTCCTATACACTATAACTGGTATCTTTGCCTCTCTATAATCCCTAAGGTGATTCTAGAAACAAGGTGTTTTAAAATCTAAGAGTATTTCCAAATTAGTGTGCAAAACTAACAATTCATCATGATCATGGCATGTGCTGGTGGTTTTTGCCCTTGTGAATGACAGCTATTTGAATGTCAGCAAGCAGAATTGAGAAAATTTGATGCTGGTAGTAAAACACAGTTGTACCAACAACAGCTGTGTCATCCTTCAAGAGAACATGGTGAAAGCTCTGAGTATCTGTCAAAAAGGAGAAAGGGATTGTGCAAGCTGGGAGGCTCGGAAGCACTCAGGTGGTTTGGTAAATTAGTTTTTGATCAAAGAAGTTCTGTAAAATATTATCAACTATGCTTGTGTTCAAGGTAACAACATGCATAGACATTTTTCTAAGAAAATGCAATATCGAAAGCTAATCCAGGGAGAACTCTGATGTCCCCAGGAACAGAGCTCCCTGTTGACCTCAGGGCTGATTAGGACCCTAATGTGTCCCATCCAAGGGTCTATCATTAGAAGTACCAGAAGACCTAGAAGTATTTTATTTATTATTTATATTTACTTATTACAGTTTTCTGAAAATAAAAATTAGAGGCCAATGCTTTAAAAAATGTTAATAGTAGATTTCACAATTAGTCAACCCTCTTAAAGTTAGGTCCTTAAGATTCCTAACTACTGATTAGTTCCTTGCTTCTTAGAGTAAATGAGTAAAGACATGGTAAAAGCTGTTTTAAAAATTCTACCCAAGAATAAATATGTGATATATGAAAACAGTTCTTTGTTATGTTCACAATATGGATTCAAATATAACCTCACATAATAAGTATATCAAGGTAAAGCCCAGATTAAAGAACACTGAACAGACCACAGAAGGTTCTTTTGAGGAAAAAAAAATTCCAATTTCTTTAGCTGGTGTACCCAAAGGTAAGTATATCCAAAAATTCATTTTTTTCTGGATAGAGTTGACATTTTTGGTAGAAACTATTTTTGAGTAAAAAGAGATTCTTTGGACTGGCAGAAAACCTTTTAACATTTTTCAGCTACACGAAGAACTCCATGAGGCATCCAGCGTAGTTTGGTCAGCAATTCAGTTAGTCCTCTGGCAACTGACTTGTGTTTTATCTCCTACATGGCTCTGTTTTGAAAAGAATTATCTCATTTTCTAGTCATGCTCTTACCTCATCTGCAATGTCAGTTATTTAAATAAAACATCTCAAATATAATGAAAATATGCAAAACTATTTCCCCTTCCAATTCTTAGCAATTTCTCTGCTTTTGTGTAATTAATTGGAGGTTAAAATTAAATTTTAAATAGGAAGTCAGAACTAAAGATGCCCAGTTTTACCATCAGCTCAACCACACAGATTTTTAAAACTACATTAACAAGCATATAGCATAATTATCCTCCAGAGATCCAACCCCAACCAATAGATTTACGTATCTCTTTCTGAAGAATGTTGTGGAACTGATTTGTTCAGACTTGTGGCCCTGGCTCTAGAGATTCAAATTCCGGTCCTGATTCTCTCACTAACTGGCCTGAGATTTTTAGACAGGTAATATGTCTTCTGGGGATCAATTTTCTTAACAAAATGAATGAATGTAAGGCTATTAGGATTTCTAAGATACTGTCTGGTATGCCTAAGTATTGGCATACCTAAGATTAGGGACTCAATTTCGATTAAGGAAATATTGGAAATTTCCCAGAATTCATCAGTGTTATCATTAGGTCCACATCTGGGTCTTTATTCTTTTCTCTCCCCATAGAGATGCCAGATCCTTTTCCTTTTTTTGCCAAGGCTAGGACAGTTTTTCTTAACTCTCTTCCTAAATGTTGTTAACTCATTCTCTTCCCCTTTCGTTATGTAGCTTCACTGTATTTCTACCTTGAGATCTTTTAGAGCCCATTTTTAGCACACTTCATGCCTGCAAATGCTGCTGAATCTAAAGTAGTATTTTCATATAAAAGAACTTCAGTATTTTTCAGTGCTCTATTTCTGCTTCATTCATTTCAACTCCTTTTATGCGGGTCTAGAGTACGTTCAATAATTAAAAGTATTTGGTTACTATGGTGTGCTGTGATCCAGCCTCTATTTCTTTGCATTTTTTCTTTCTTTTTTAATATCCCCGTAAGTCTAGAAGTTACTAGTGTGGCCATTTTTTAAAGTTCAGTTTAAAAGCACAAAACAAATGGAAACAACATCCATATCTAGAATTGAATAAGCATTTGACTTCCTCACTTAAAAATTTTTTCCACTGACTCAGACTGGGAAAAACATTACGCAGTCATCTAGATCAAAACCCTACCATCAAGGAGTAGTGTATCAAGGCTATTTCAGACTGTTAGGTAAACATGCGTGTAGTCAGGAGAGATTTCACCAAGATGATAGCTGTGTGTTTGGAGGACTTTTAGCCTAGGAACTCAAGTGATACTCTTTTTTTTTTTTATGAAAAAAATAGCAAATAAAGGACCAGGTTCTCATTGATTATACCTACTTGTGGACCAAAAGAGCTGGTTATTATCAAACTCAGCCATCGTGAGTGCTTCTGCAAGTACTTCCATCTTCATTTCTGGTCACCTGTTAGATGGCACGGGGAAACTTGCAGGCTGAGTTCCAGCACAGAGTGGAAACCAGGCAATTCAAAAGGCTACCTAGTGCTAAAGAAGGACTCCAGTCCAATGTTGGACTGTTTCCCTGAGTTAACTTTTGGTATCTCAAATATTGTTATTTTTTAAAATCTTTCTTTCAAATGTTACTCATTTTGAAAATTTTGAACTACCATGGAGAAATACAGTCACCAAGTTCACCATCATTTTTCACAGTGTCTAGTGGGTTTATAGATAAATACATCAGTTCTTCAGTCTTCATAATATTTTTCAAATTTCCACTTTTGATATGGCTTCACTGGGTCACAAGCAGTAACTTTCAGGGTCTTCTGAGAAAAATTGCCCTCCAAGCATAGCAACTGATGATGGTTTCCAAAAACAATGTGATTCACCTGGAGAGAAAGGGGATCTGAGAATGAGCTACAGACTAAATGTGACAATTGTGATGTAAGGAAGTGAAAACCAAAAAAATTTATTTTTGATTTCTTAGGAATTCACCTGAACTAAATTAGTAACACAAACATGGGATTTAGGCATTATTAAATTTGTCTCTGTTTCAAACTCAGTTCTCATACTCTTCAAACTACAGAACTTTTAATTTCTAAGAAAGCAAAAGATGAATTTTCTGATGATATGGCTGATAACTGTATTACTTAAAGGAAGTAATTCCAGATGGAATTTATTATACTTGATGGCTGGCTCTCTCACTGATGGTGATAAAGAAAAAACACACACCATCACAAAAAGTGAGTTAGATAATTTAAGTCCATGCCTTAGAATGCAAATTTGGAATACAAAAATGCTAGAAAGGATGTATTTTTTTTAATGAGCTCCCTACCATAATCTCTGACAGTACAGGTGTTTGATGTCCAGGATGTCCAGAAAGTCCAGATGTAAATAGGAAAAAAATCAAAGATATTTCAGAGAGTTCTATTATTGCTTAATGTTTATTGAATGTCCTAGAAATGGCTGATAGTTTACTAAGAACTTGCTCTTGATTTTATAATTTTTCTTAACCTATCAATCCTCTCAATCATCCATGACTGTGACAAAGATTATCTTAATCATATATATGTTGTTTTGACGTGCTTTAAAAATTTATCAAACAAGATGACTTCATGATAATTTATTATAAAGATGCTGTTACAAAACATACTGTCACCCTTGTAGGACATTGGAAATATGATGCCTGAGTATGCTCAAGGTTTTGTAAAAGAGACATGTTAAGAAGATCATTCTGGATTATCTACAGTGTTCTGCTGGTGGGTTGTAAAGGCATAACTAAATAACTTATCCTCAACAAAAGACATGTGATGTGGAAATCAGAGCTAGAAGAACATTCCATATCCCCAAATCCTAGATGCCACTTTTAAGAATTTTCCTTTTAGATGGTCACAGTCCAGGGCATGGCAGGGGAGGGGCTGACCCAGAGAACACCTTTTAAATGCAGGTTTAGAAATGGATAATTTTAATGGCTCTTTGGTATCCAGGGTCAAACTCATTATTACCCTTCCTGTTTCCATGAATCTCTCAACTCCTGATGCTTTCTAAAAGAAGAGATATGCTCCTGTTATTCATAGTCTTAATCTCCATTTCTCTTGTTTTTTAAGACTTGCATGTCTTAGGGAACTTCAGAGGTTTAATATGAAAACTACCAAAATACTGAAAAAAGAAGAACGATACTTGTCAAGATATTCAACTCCATGACATCTAGCAGCATGAAAAGGGGACCCAAGGCAGAAGGCGACTATGTGACATGTTACAAAGTACAAAGTCATAGGCACAAACAAGGTAGGATAACAACTTTCTAATTTTCGCCATCTTAATTAAATTACCGTCTTTACGCTTACCACTAGAGGGGCCAAAATTGGTCCTATATAAAAATTAGCTTATAAAGGCATAAATTCTCAATGGAGCAAATCCAGTTTATAAGAAAACCCTATGTGATTTAAGGACTGCATGTTTCTAAATATTTTCTTACCAGCCTGAAATCTTTTCTGGTAACAGATTCACTTCTCAAGATAAGGAATGTATTCTTTTTCTCATTTTTAAACTCAGTCTCTCTCTCTCTCTCCCCTTTGGCACAGAGTTCAGAAAGCAGAAAGTTAGGACGTAATTTATTCAATAGATGTTAATGGATTTTCCCAACACTATGCAAAATGAAACGAGCAGTTTACATACTAGTAATTCCTAATTTTTCTGAATAACTCAATAATGATCACTATCACTAAAGAGGAAAAAAAATGTCCAGAAGGAACTGAAATATAACAGGGAAGATCTGTAGGGAAGGAGTTTGGAGATTGTTTGCTCAGGTCCTAATTCTGACCCTGAGCAGAAAGAAAAATGTCATACAGAGAACAGTCACTGGCTGTGATATCAAAAAAAAATAGAGGTACTCCAAGGAAAAACGTGTGCTTGCTTTGGGGCCATCCCTGAGCAAAATGCTGGTCTCCATATACTCAGTGCATTTGATACATCTGGTGGCTACCTACTAGTGAGACAGTAGAAAATTAGAGATGGCAGGCCTGAGATTATTCCTGCTACTCTAGATCCTACACCAAAGCTTATGGCTTTGTATCCTGTTAAAATATAATTGGGAAAATCAGAAGACTTTGAGAGTGAATAGGATGGAGCATAGGTGTTCTGGTAAATATTAACAATTGAACCTCTGGAAACACGTCCCCTGATTTGTAGCATGGGTGTAAATACTTCTTTCATGGCTGATTTCGAGTTGCCAACATGGCATCAGTGAATGTGAAGTTGGCAAGAGATGCACACAGTCAGCTCCCGCAAGTTTCATGGAGCTGGCTCCAGCACCCATTTAGAGCCTAGGCCTCTGGGAACCAGAGGGCATAAGAAAGTGTCTCTGCATAGAAGGGAGGCAGGACTCCTACTAAAGTGCGGGACTCTTGGGAAACACACTGTTTCTTGCCTTCCCCATATACTTTCCCTATAAAATTTCCTGGTAACCAGTGAGAATTGATTCTAGCCTGTGAGTCTTACTTTAGGTATTGTTAATTGACTGAAGCAAATGACTTTTAGAAACAAAGATGATAATAGCAATAGAACTGAAAGAACTGGATGACTTCTATTTAAAATAAATAAAAATGATACAAATTCCATTTACAAACCAAAAACAGACTCACAAACATAGAAGATAAACTATGGTTACCAAATGGGAAAGGGCAGGGGAGGGATAAGTTAGGAGTTTGGGATTAACAGCTACACATTACTATGTATAAAATAGATGTAGTGCAGGGAACTATATTCAATTTCTTATAATAGCACATAATGGAAAAGAGTATGAAAAGGAAAATATACATGTATGTATATGTATAACTGAATTGCTTTGCTGTACACCTAAAACTAACATTGAAAACATTTCAATAAAAAATAAAATAAAACTTTAAAAATAAAAAATAAAATAAAATAACTGATCTGAAATACATTTTGTAAAAGGAATTTTAAAAGATTCAACAGTTTATAAAAGTATCTGTTTATCTCTCTGTATGAACTTTTACACTGCCTCTATTGTCCCAAACACATTTAAAGCTTCTGATTGAGGAAGCTGACAATGAGTGTTTTATGTCCCATTTAGTTGAAAGTTGAAAGGAAAAGGTGCAAATATTTTGCTTACCAGTTCTGGACGAAAGACTGATGTTGATTTATGCAGCCATTTTAGCCCTTTGTTTCTGTTATCACAAGGGTGCAGCCTCAGGGCTCCGTTCTCAGGGACAGGAGCTAAGCACCATTCTCCATGTTTAATAAGTCTTAACCAGGTATAATTAAATTGTTGAAGCTGTGGGGGAAATGAATTAAGGAGAAGGCCACTTCAGGCAGAAAACACAAATAGCAGCTTTGTCAAACATTTTTGTTAGTAATGCTGAAGAATACAGGCACTCTGGTCAAATGTTTTGTATTCAAAGTCTGGTATTGCAGCTTTCAATGCTGATAGTATGGGCATATTATTTACCCTGTCTAATCTCATTTTTAAGTTGGATAGCAATAGTGTCATTCGGGGTAATGAAAAAACTTGGGGTAATGTCTGTCTAGTGTTGTGCACACAGTATGGCCTCAATAAGTGTTAGTTGCAATAATCAAAATTATTTGGTACAATTAGTATGTATCTGCAAATGGATGCCATTTAAGGTGTTCTGAATCCCAGACAACCCTAGTGCATGAAGTATTGGAACATTCAAACCACCACATGAGTAAGGCCTCCAGTCATTAAGGCTACAGAGAGTTTCAAGTCACAGTCTTAAACACTTTGATGGAAATTATTGTGCCTCTTTCTTAAAAGACTATCTAGACAACTAGACTCCTAGATGCTTTGTTCTGTTATAGGAAAGGTTAAAATTTCTTTGCTGATAGTACAAGGAATCACCAGGTTGTGCTGTGTTAGCATCCCCTAGTTCCCAGGAACTGCTCTTTGAGAAGTCTAGTTTTAAGGAGCCACCAGTGTCTAAAATAAATACTGATTTAGGTAATGGAACCATGTTTTAAGTTTTTATAAATATTTTTCTCCAACTTTTTTACAATCTAGTTCTATCTGCCTGGTCAATTTACTCTAATGCTCTGGGTCTGTGGGAAATTTGTGGTTTTGCGCCAATGTAAACATATTAGAAAAAATTGCTGGTAAAATCTATCTAAATACTTTTATCTAATGAATCATTTGTAATATAATTGAGATTTAACTTTGATTATCAAGTATGTTACTGTGTTAGAACTCCCCATTCAAAGGGTAGTCCCTGGACCAACATTAGCAACACCTGGAGCTAGATGGAAATGCTGAATCTCAGTGCCCACTATAGACCTCCTGAATCAGAATCCGCATTGCAACAAATTCCCCAGATGATGTGAGTGCACATTAAATTTGAGAAGCACGGATATATGTCATAATACAAGGAGTTTTATGCCTATTAAGAGAGTTAACTATTACCTTGAAAAGGGACATGTCAACTGGTTGAAAAGTTAGTAACTAAGGCGATGTTTTAGGCGAGGTGAAGGATAGGGTTTGGTGTTTCAATCCTAGGGTCTTCGTCCTTTTGAGATTTTTGGATGAATGCTGTAGTCACTGGCTTAATATTAAGCCTCCTTAATTCTGCCAAAAATAAGTTAACTTCGTCCATGTTCCTTTACCTTTTATTACTCAAATCAACCACAAGAAGCAGAAGCTAAAGTGAGTAACAAGACATAAAGGGAGATGGGTGTTTGTGGAAGGCATTTGCCCCCTGGCATACCCTCAAGAGAGTCAGTAGTTATGGAGACCAGGTTATTTTTCAGATAAAATACTGGTTAATCACGAACAAAAAGTCACCACAATGATGAGTCCTGAAGGACTGCATTATTTAATATTTTACTTTTGTAGAATTTGGGCTGCTTGTGGTTTTGTTTTTAAAATTTATGACTTTATTTCCTCTTTGAATTGTTAATAAGTGAAAATTATTTCTTTCAACTGTGTTTTGACACTTTGCTCTTTTCTGTCTCTCCTTTCCTAATTAAGAAAGAATTCCCTTAGCTTCAAGTTTACAATCCATAGCTGAATTATATCAACAGAGATGACAAAAATACTTTTTTTCTAGTAGCAACTTTGAATTAAGAGGTAGAGATGGGATTTGCTTGAAAATACAAGCAGTATCTCTAAGTCAAGCAAAGAAGTAAGTCTTGGCAAGCCTAGATTATCATCATAAAATAATTTCTCTATCAAAGAATTATCTGCTGTCTTAGGGGACTGAGTTCAATGCCTGAATCGATGTTCCTGTGAGTCCTATTTAGTACTCAAACTGATAACTGTCCCCACAGAATGAGAGTGGGTAGAAAACAGATTATGGAGAGGGAGGTGCCTTCACTCAGAGCTCCTCTCCAGCCCTGTAGAGTCCCTGCTCTGTTCTCCCTGGCCCTGCCCCTTCCACTGAACCAAGTGCTCTGAGTTTGTCAAAGTTCTGCTGGAGAGTTTTCTACTGTAGATCAGGAATTCTGTGATTTGTATTATTCTTTTAAGGCGTAGGGGAATGGGGCTGGGGCTGGGGGGATAGGAATCAGATAATAAAATTGGTACCTTAGAGTAATTATTTTAAAATATGTACTGCCTTAATTTTCTTCTATATATTGTTCTACAGGCTTCATGTGCATTATCTAATTCAGTCCTCACACCAGCTTTGGGGTAGGCACTCTTATCACTGTCATTTACCTAAGGGTTAAGGAATTTATAGTTAACACATTTTCACAAGTGATAGAACCAGAACTGGCTCCCTGGTGGGCTGACTACAGTATCCACCTTTATGCCCTCAATCACTGTCTTTACATTTAGAAGTAGATCCTGTTATCACCAACTTTATGATTACACAGAAATTTGGAAATTAATTATTGTTACTATGGGCAAAGGAGAATTTCTCAGGTGAGTGAGGAGCATGTCATACCCTGCATCTGTCAACTACACCTGCACCAACTATCAACTGCACCTACTATGAAAGAGAAAACCCCGCTCAGCATACCTTGCTACTCCCATCACAGTCTTCCAGGATGGCTGTGGTGTTTTCAATGGACATGCATTTACCCAAGGCCACATTAATAAGCTAGGAAACAAAATATAAAATATGCATTAAGAAAAAAATATTTTAAAGTAGAACAGGACATCCAGTAAACACAGAATATGAAACTATAATCAGGTTAAAAGATAAGTTAATAGCTTAGCATTACTTCGCACTGTACGATTTTATTGGTTGCTATCTGCAACACAGACATAATGTAATCTTGCTAAAGTACAGCTTCAATCTGTCAATTTAGGCCTGTGATTCAGCCACAGAGCCAACAAACAGAAGCTTTTAATTAACCCTTGCCTGGAATGCTGAATAGGAAATGAGCAAAGGTGGCGTGAAATGTAGTTATTTTCTTGTCTCAAGTTTGTCTGATGCATATATTAAAAGTCAGTACACATCCTTGCAATTTAATCAAACCAGCGGTCTGGGCTCTGTTCTCTGGCTGACCCCTCCAAGCTATTTGATTGCTGAGGCACTGAATCATGGATAAATTGAGTCCTTCAAAAACAGCGGATTCCAGCTGACTCTTGGTCAGAATCTTCCTAATGACTCAGGCAAGCTACAATTCATTACAGGGAAGTCACAAAAGCTAATACAGAGCCAAGCTTAAAGGCACTTTCTGGCAGACCCCCAGGTTTTTAATGGATTTACAGGGTCTAACATGGAGACGGCTTTCTATAAGTCACCATTCAATGTGGAAAAATGTTGATTCCCTTCCTCTCTTTGACATTTTGGGTAGAGCTAGTGAGATGGTGGGTTAAGAGTACAATTTAGACTTCTCAAATCTCTAGAAGAGCTGTGTAGAGCTGTCTACACTCAGGAAAGCTCCCTGTGCTGGGAAATGGGGAGGTTTTGGTTGCCAGAGACACAACTTCCAGGTTCCATGGTGCCTACCACAGAGCTCTAACTCCGGAGCGCTATGTAGCTCACAGAGTTGTCAGACTTCATAACAAACACAGTGCTCAGTGTGTTGGTCCTCACTTTTGCATGGATAACTTTTCCTGCAAGAAAGTAAGGGACATCTTCAGGGCCCAGAAAGTGCAGAAAAAAAACTAAAAACAAGAGGGAAAATGGCAGATACTGATAAGCAGGGGGACCAATATTGAGCACAGATAAGCCAGAGGGTTGGAATTGAGATCTTCCACATTCAGATAGAAAGCTAAAAAGTTAGACCCTCTGTGGAATGATGTACTGGGAAAAACCACTTACCCATCAGCATAGAGAGGCAAAGGGGGAGCTAGATTCTCCCAGCAATGTAAAATGACAGATTTGGGAGAAGATAATCAATATGTTGGAGCAGTCAGAAGGCACAGAAGGAATCAACCACCACAAACTTTGGAGAAAAGAGTTACATAGACTTACACGAAGGTAGAAAAATCCTGGAGTTTAAAGAAAGGAAATGGGGTCCCAAATGTTCTCTGGATCTTAAAAGAAATAAATAGAAACTCCTGTACTTCTGAATTATTCAGAAAATATCTTATTTTCAAATGAGTTTTAAAAACTCCAGCTTCAGTCCTGCCAAACAGATTGCCCTAATCCAGAACTTCTCAGAACTTTTGGTCCTGAGTGCAGGTTACTGTTTAGCCTGGTGCCCTGAGAGGGAATATAGAAAGAGAGTTTGCCAAATGCCTTTGATCATGGGATACGATTGTTGACAGCATAAATAATAACTGGGCTTAGAAAAGTGTTAGGGAACCCCCTGATTAACTGATTTCTTTGTGGTTATTTCTCACAATCCCTTCTTCCAAGCACTGAAAGGCATTAGGAGAGAAAACTTTTCTATCCTTTTCCTCCCCCTCCCCCGCTTCATCTGAAGATCTGTTTCCCTTCCCTCCTTTTGGAAATTATGGGAGAAACTGCTTTTCTTCAAATAGAAATGGTCTATGAAGTGCTAAGGAATTGTTATTATCTCATTAAGAATGGTTTTTAGAATTGGTTTTTCACTTTTTATTTTTTAAACAAATTGAATCCATGCTTTTATTATAAACCATTTCAATCTTTTTTTTAAATCAGGAAGTATATAAATTTTAAATTATCCATTTTGAGTTATTTCATTTTCCAATTTAGGAGGTGGGAGTTCCCCACAGTTTATCTAAGAATTGGTGAACACTGGGCTAGAGGCTGTTTGCTAAGAATTTAATCCAATATAAATATAAATTATTGGTGAGGTTCTTTTACTTTCTTATTTTCAAATATTTTTGGTTTCGTGAGAAAAGATTCATTCTTATTTTTAAAAAGTCAAACTTTCCTAAATATGTAGGTTGAAAGAAGAGAAAATATGGAGCAAGTAACAAAAAGTTGTGGATTTTAATTTCTTGGAACATTGCACAATTATCTATCCAAAGTAATGGTCTAGTTAACCCTATTCTGAATTGCCTGGAGAAAGATCCTCTTCTTCTTCTTCTTTTTTTTTAATTGATAATAATGCTCCCTACTGGCTGCTTCAGAAGGGAGCAGATATCTTTATTAAAATTTGTCCAAGGAAGGGAACAAATAGTGAGGAAAATAGAAAGAAAGAATTAGTTTAAAATCATTTAAAAAAACATTTTCTGCACTTTGATGTATTATAGCTCAGGATTCAGCAGAAGGCTGTTTCATTAGGAGAGCTGTTCAGAAATTTCATGGAAACTGTTATACAGGCTAGCCTCACAGAGGAGACAAAAGGTAGTTTTTTAGTTCCCTCTGGTGGTTAAAGTTCAGCAATGCTCTTGCTGAGATTGTTAGGACAGGAAAAAATTACTACAGTGAGAATTTCTTTTTATTTTATCCTGCTCGGGAAATCAAAATTTTAAAACATTAATTTATTTTGCAGGCATATTTTTTGAACAGTATTTAAACCCAGGGTATTCTTCCTGATGAGTTATCCAAGATAAAATGGGTTGAACCACCTGAAGTAGCCACTATTCCATTTTGACCTACAAAGATGGCAATTGTGTTATATACAAACAGGTTACATACACTTTTTTTTGGTCAGTTAATTTTATAAAAGCAGCACAAATTCTCAGACTAGTTTCCTCTCTTTTATACTCTTCCAGGATCTCCCTATAACATTGAGGAGAATGACCTTACTAAGTGTCCTTGTCATCAGGAGATTTGCTAGGCAGAAAAGGTTGGTTTGTACAATTCACTTTTTAGGGAGAACTGAAAAAACTTGGCCTAAATGAGCAAGCTTACTGATGGTTGAGGCTTAAGAACCTTTTGCATGAAGAGAAAGGAAACTCTGAGAGAAAATTAGACAGGACTGGGAATGTTTGTAAATAAAAATTAAGTAAGAAATGAAACAATACAAGAGATTAAAATTTTGCATGACTGGGGAAGACCTCCAGGCTTGACTAACCATCTTTAAACCCAGTCTCTGGTAAATGGTCCTCATACCTTGCCATCCTCTTCAAATTAAGAATGGCTTTGAAATGGCTCTTTTTTTCTTTTTTTTTTTCAGTTTCTCTTCTTCCTTGATTTTTTTCTTAGCTTCATAGTCTATCCAACGTATCAACCTTGGCTTCTTTCCTTTTGGTAAATTATCTTGTACCCTGGAATTTTCTCTGCCAATTTCTGTTATTTTCTACCCCTGTTTGAAATCTATAAAGTTCTAATTAAATCCTGTCATCCCATTGCTTAATCCTACTCAGTAACTTTCCATTATACACAGAAGATAATGGAGGGTGGGGGAGAAAATCCTTTCTCTGCCCACAAGGACCTGTGTGACCTGACTCCTTCTTCGCTCTTGACCTTAATCTGGTGCCATTCTTCCCTCCTTCACACCCTGATAACAACATTCATCTTTCCAGTTCTTCAATGCCTCAAGCCTCATCTGTCTTAGATATTTTGCACAAGGGGCATCTTCTACCTAGGGCTCTCTTCTTCAGAGCTTGGCCGACACTTCATCTTTCAGGCCTTGATTTCAGTGTCCCCGTGGAGTTGACTACTCTAACTTAGAAGGATTCATCACTTGTGGCCAGTTCTCTAAATGAAAGCTATAATTTTTATTTACACTTTACTTGCTTATTTGTTTGTTATCTTTCTTCCCTACTCAACTTTAAGCTCCACAGAGAAGGGATCAAGTCTACTTTATTCATCACCGTCTAATCTAGTTCTAAAATACCGCCTGGTTTATTGATACTCAGTAGGTGTTTGCTGAATTAATCAATGAACATGGCAGCCTGGAAGCCTTCCTCAAGTTTACCTAATGTGCGTAATCCCCAACCACACTTCCTTTCCTCTGCACTCATACCTGGTGTTTATTTGTAATGTAATAATTCACTCTTCCCCACAGATTTTCAGAAGAGTTTTTAAATTTTATTTTTGTGGCATCAGATTTTAAATTGCTGCTCGAACTTACCACACCATTTGCCCTCACAATGGGAGCCTTCAAGTCAGGAAAAACATTCTCCAAGTACCATTTGAAACTTTTGCATTTTAGTTTCTTCCGAAGTTCCTGTTGTTGGGTGAGGTTGCCGACATCTAGCCCTTGGTCTATGAGGTGATCCCCATGACCGTAGAACAGGTCCTTGTACTCATCCAGCCAGACCTCGGCCACCCGCACCAGGTTCCGCTCCACTGTCTTCATCCGGTCTTTGGGGAAGGAATATGGATTGTCATTTCGGAATATGTGGCCCACTCGGGAACAGGGAATGATCTCAATCTCACCCCCACACATCCACACCTGAAACAGTTTGATGATAAGGATCGATTATCAAATGATTGTCAAGAAATCATGGGTAATGAACAATGACAAAAACCACCTGGCAAATTTTTCTGTCCTGTTGAAAGTAGTATTCTTCACTTCTAAAATCTTTTTCAACAGAAAATTAAACTTAACAGGTTTATCTACAATGCTGTGGATCATTTTAGGATTATTAAAATATTTTTTCCTTTCCATCCTGAAGTGTAAATCTTTTTTTTCCCCCTAAAGAAATCCTCACAGAATCTCAATGTATAAAATATGTAGCATGAATTCCTGCTTTAGTTGAATCAAGGGCAGGAGTATATATTTCCATTTTTTTCAACTTCCCCTTCCATCAGGGGGTGATCAGTGTGACTTGTGGGATACAACTTGACGACCATTCTTCTTGATCAAGAGCTCAAAGTAACACTCCTGTTACTATGTACACCCCACTCCATAGGAAAGCAGGTGCTTTGGATGCTCTCCACTGTGGCTGCTGCCACAGCTTTCTTAGGTATTAGTCAGTGATTATATAAATACTCAGAGTTGTCTGAGATGTGCAAAGTTGCTGTGGCCTGTTGGTGGCCTGCTCTAACCACACTGTCACTTGTACTCTCCAAGATGGCCCATTGCTAAATAATTTCATTACTTCCAATATATTAGAAAACATTTCAGGAGAGTTATTTAGTATCAAGTATGAATCCCACAGCATTTACACTGAATGGCAGACGATTATTTCCCCCACATTCAGATGCAGAAACCGTGTTGTAAAATATTAGGGAACTCAAATTAATTTCACAGGAGCTATTGATTCTTCCAAATTCAATCTGGGATATGAAGACATTAATCCAGAGGCCCTAATATTTCTGTGAAATTTCCTCCTAGAGGCAGTTACATATCTGACTATAATAGTAAAATGAAACCCTTTAAAAATGATAAACTCTTAATTGTAAAGAGAATTTGAGAAACATTTGGTAATACCTTGAAGGAGAGCTCCATATTTTCTCCACCCCAAACATCGAGCCCAGGGTCATATGTTCCAAGTTCAAAAAAGTAATTTTTATCAATAGAAAATAATCCACCTGCCATGACAGGACATCTACAAAAAGAAAAATTTGTTTTTTAATCTGGAATGTCATAGGAGCTCAGCTGTTAGAATGGGTCCCCTGTATAGTTGGGGTGCAGCTAGGAGACATTTCAGAATAGCTACCAAGGAGGGGGAGGTCTTGGAATGAAGTCATAAGTGGCACTTCAGTGATGAATCCCTGGTTCAGGTGGCAGAACTTGATTAGGGTCAGCAAAGATGGGGCCTGGAACTAGGATTCTTATTCGTCATTTACTCTCTGACACAAAACTCTCCAAAGATGTTATTTTTCAAAACAGTTATTTAGTGCTCTTTAGGGAAGACCAGGCAGGCACTTTTGTATTATATGTATATTAACTCAGGCCTCACAAAAATCCCTTGAGTGTATACTGCTAAGAAATGACACAGAAAAGGTAAGAAACTCTCCCAAGTTCACAGACTGGTGGGATATGCATCTGGGGTTCATATTTAGTCAGTCTGGCTTGACTCTTATGATCTCCCCTCCATTATACTGCCTCAACTGTATGCAGACTTTCCTGACAGCTTGTTACATGGCAAACACTTTTTAAAGCACTTTTTATATAGCATTATCTGATTTAATTCTCAAAACAATCCAATGTCTATTAGTCTTAATGTACAAATGAGGAAACAGAGACAAAGAGGTTAAGTTATTACCACTAGTAAGTAGTAGAGTTGAGATTCAGTCCCAGAGAGTCTAACTCCAGAGCCTTCCCTGCTGTTACTGATCATGGGGAACAGAAAGTACATCTGAGTCAGCAGTTAGAAGCGGCAACAATCACTTCCCATGGTGGCCACTACTGAGCCAGCTGAAGGCGGTATGGGTGGAGAGCCTACCTTGTGTTTAGGCTGTGCAGCAATCTCAAGAGTAAAGTAATTCCTGCCCTGCACCTACTTCCCTTCTCCCATGATTTTCCTGCATATTCTATCTGTATCCCAAATGTCCTTTCCAGACTATCAAGTGCATTATCTTCCTAATGTTATGCTGAATATAATGGGACTCTGAACAAGGCAAAGAGATTCTTCAGGTGTGGGATCAGAGAAAAAGTGTTAAATTCAGGCAGATCTGGGTTTGAATCCCAATATCTCCTTTCACAAGCTGTACATCCCTGGGAAAATTACTTAACTCTCTGAAGTCTCAATTTCCTCATCTCTATAATGGGAATATTACACTCTCTCTTCTAGGGTTATAGAGAGGGTGAAATGCACAATGCTTAATAAAGGACTACATGACCCCTTCCTAATCTTACGTTTCATACACTTACCTTATTATATCAGTTTCTTTAATTTTGTTTTTTGCAACAACGTCCGGAGGAATGGTTCTCCAACCAAAGTTCATGGGCCACACAAAGATGCCTCTTTGAAAGTTGTCCACTGTCATGTAGCTAATCCAGGAAAAAAACAAAATTGCTACCTGAGATCATACACATGATAAACCTGACATCCTGTCTCATATAAGTGAATGAAACAAGTGCTTACATAGATGATTTTAGATCACCACAGACTTTTTAATAATCTTTCAAGAAAATTTATGAGTATAATTTGCATCAGTGATTAATTGATTGGATTGCTTGCCTTTATTTTATACTTTTCTTTTAATAACATTGTGGCCATTTTTGAGGGAAAAATATATATCCCGCAAAAAGAAGAACTAATCTTAAGGAAAATAAATACTTTGGGGTTCAGCTGAATAGAAAGAGGAGAGACCAGGACAATGAACATTAGTATTTATTGGCATTAAGAGTTGAGAATTTGTGATAACCAGATGAATTATTGCATTGACTTGCCTTGATCCCAGAATATATATTATGTATTTCCATTTATTTAAACAGAAAACTGTATTACTTAGATTTGCAAAAATGTACATATTAGGAGTATGACCAGTACTTTGTGCTGCTTCTGGTTAAAGACTCACTTAGAAGTGTCTTGTGGAATATGACAGTATTACCTCATATCCTTATCATTGATGACTTCAATTACTGGACAGGCTACTTTCTTTCTACTTAAATAAACTCTTTCCAGAAGAGGTTCCAACCAACCAACATTACATTCCACATGAGAATCTAAGAACGTCAACACATCACCTAGACAGCCAGAGAAAAAAACAATTATTTGAAAATGCAGTATACTGAATCTGTGTATTTCATACTGAAAGGTCCCTAGGATTGCTCCAAAAATGCGGTAGTAAAGGCAGTGGTATTTTCTTCTCGTTGAACTCCTTCCTTGTCTCTCTAATTTCATTCCACAATGAAATGAGAGAAGTTTTGTTTCTAGCAATCCCATGGGGCAAAAATCATTTATGTTTAGAAAAAATGGATAAGCCACTGAAAATGGGGAGCCAAGTCTCTGAAGGGAATATTGAGTATTAAAGGTAGTTGCTTATGTTTCTTTTAAGGAAGTTGGGTCACATTAACTCTGGGGGTGGAGGACTGGGACTTTGTTTTGCAGAAGACAAGGAAGAGTCTGAGATTCCAAGTTTGGCCTTAGGAATGATGATGAAAAATTGCTCCACATAATAGGGGTGAAAAGAAATTAAAGTGCGGAAACTAGCAAGACTAGGAGGTAGTGTTAAAAGGTTTACAGAGTTGGGGAATGAGGAATTGTTTAATGGGTAGAGTTTTAGTGTACACAATGAAAAGAGTGCTGAAGATTGGTTGCTCAGTAGGATGAATATACTTCACAGTTCTGAACTGTATACTTGAAAAATGGTTCATTTTATATGCGCATCCTACCATAATTAAAAAAAAAGAGTTACAGGAGAAAAAAAGAGAACAGAAACTTGGAGGCCAGAAATACTTATTATGAATTCTGGGTTTTTTTTCTATTTACTCCCTTTGGAATGAAAATCTCAGTAACATCTGCATTGTTCCAAATGATTTTATACAAGTGGAGAGAGAGAGTCTGTGTGTGTGTGTGTGTTTGATTAACAATAACCAGAGGAATCTGGGCCCTGGCCAAAATCCTATGTGCAGTCTTTCAGGCCCAACTATAGGCAATTACAAAAGCTTTACCTGGCAGGCCTCATGGGGGAAGGTTCACAGCCAGTGAGTGCACTGCAGTCTGACTAGAGTTACTGTCAAGGACTCAAGCCCTCCCACCCCCTCCGCTGGACATGCTTTTTACACAGAGCTGCAACCTGGCCCATTTAATAGATAATATTTAGATGATAAAAGTTGTGCTGATATAAGAGAATGTCTTCATTCACGATAGAGATATGGTGTCATGATGTCTGTCAATTCCTTTTCAAAAGCTCAGATTAAAATGTGTACATATATAAACTTGTGTCTGTGCATGTGTGTGATGAAGCACATATTGCAAAAAGCTAAAGATTGGTGGAATGAAATGATGGCTCTATAAGTGTTCACTGTACTATTATTTCAAATTTGCTGTATATTTGGGAAAAAATTAAACTAAAATAAAAATGTAACCAAAACAAAAATTAGCAGCTTCTTACCTGTGGCATTCCTTGCCCCTGCCAACCTGGCTCTTATTAAGCCATGTCTCTCTTTGAGGCGAAGAATCCGAACTTTTGGAAACTGAGACATGTATTTATCCAAGTTACCTTTTAAGTAGTCTATATCAGGGTAAGGATAGACAAGGAAACAATTTAATTAATGAGATCTTTAATTAATAAATAATAACAGAAGTATCTCTTCAACATCAAATTCCAAAAACTAAAACTATGACATTTACAATAGTCACTAAATTTTATTCTTTGAGCTATGATATCATTTTCTTGGCTGGATTTTTGTCTGAGTTCAATATTCTAAGCTGTCTGTTTTCCACAAACCTGAATCCATCTTTTCAGTGTAGCCAAATTACCCAGAGGAGGGCTCACTGTTTATTTGTCAGGACAGGTATAAACTTAGCTTTAAATAAATGAAGTTGAGGTTTCTGCACAACCTTCCCCCCTTGCAAAGGCCCCTTCTAATACCCA